GTACTGGACTTTTTGCAAATTCACGCTATAGGGGTGCCTAGGAGCGTAATTCTGCAAGATCTTCGGAGCCCCAGTATCATGCTGCTGGTTATTGCTCGCGGCGCGGTTGGTCTGATTTCCCGCATTTCACCGTACCGAAAGCCCCCGCATACGCGCCGAGGCTCGACCCTTAACTCGGTAGGCCGATCAGTGTACAGCAACAAGTCTCTGTCGACGTATCGACCAGGCACAAAAGTCTCTTCAAATAAAACAAATATCGGTCCATAACCAAGTCACCTCAGAACCAACGTCGGGTATTACACTTCATCTGCATCAACAACAATGGCCTTGGGCGACTATTGGAATCTACGCGTCGATCGCTATGATCGCGTCTTCGTCATCACTATGCAAAAAGCTCCAGAGAATCGCTTGAACATCAGGTTTGCTCAAGAAATAATACGCGCGTTGCGGGATATAGAGCAAGAATTGGGACCAGACTCCGAAGGTTGTGTCATTACCAAGGGCAACGATGAGAAGTTCTGGTGTACTGGACTGGAGCTTGATGAAGCAGACACAAACCCGTTCGCTAATAGCGATGGCTTCTTTCCGGTGCGATGGTTCTCCTAGTTCTAGTCCCTATGTGCCAGCATAACGCGAGAACGTCCTTGGCTCTCTCAGCTGGACACTTGTTCGTGAAGGATTCTGCTAACGCTGCAAAGCTGTTGGCGACATTGCTCGACTACCCTTTCCCTACCATTGCGCTTATCACAGGGCATACATTTGGCGGCGCTTGCCCCTTCGCCCTTGCACACGACTACCGTATCATGAACTCCTCACGTGGTTTCTTCTCAATGCCTCCCGTAGACCTTGGTCTTCACTTCCCAGGGATCGGATTCCTGCCACGGCTCAAGCTTCGACCACAGATTGCGCGGAAAATGCTACTCGAAGCTCATCGTTGGACAGGCAAAGATGCGTACGAAGACGGAATCGTTGATGATGTCGCAGCCCCGAAAGACATGTTCGAAGTCGCGCTGAAGAAGGCGCGGGCTGTGCAAGGTAAGGCTAAGATGGGTGTCTACAGTCTGCTGCGGAACGAATTATGGGGCGAAGCAGCGGAGAAGATAAGAGGCATCTGTTACGTGCATGGGCGTATGGTTACTGCGCCCGCGAAGGCGAAAATTTAAGTTGTGCAATACGATATAATCAAGGACACGTTACTACTGAGCCTTGTCGTGGGAGATCCGCACTTCATAGGCTTCTTGACCACTGCCCGTCCATTGCGAACCTCATTCCAGCCCGAAAATTACGCCTCATCTACGCGCTTTCGAACAGCGGCTGATGGACCGACAAAGAGTGGCAGAATATGGCTGGCACATTCAACCGTATTCATGAGGCTCCGGTCTGCCAGTCGCCGTTCATCTATTGTGTGTGGATCGCTCAAGGCTAAATCCATAGCATCGTCTATTCAGCCGCATCGGAGCTTCTGATCACGCCAATTCATCTACAAGACCATGAAATACACAAATGGGACCCATTTGCTTCTGCTATCATTGGGTCGCCCAAACGCGTCCCCGATCCTACGTGACAAAAGCGACACGCCGAGGTTGATAGCCCGCGGCATGTACGGATGAGTAGAGCCTTGATCTCAGGCCTGGCACCATGTAAATGAGGGTTTGTGAGGATCCAAAGCTGAGGCAGCGGGGCCAGAGCCATGTTTCTTGTAGAGAAGTCAACGGTCCGTGGCCCTTACTGTAGGATCAAAGACCCCACATTCCACATAGGTATTGTACTACTGGAAGCTCCACGATCGCGTACCCGCACGGCCGGTTCACCGATATTATGGATCTATTTTTTGAGCGTCATGATCGAATGACAATTCACAACAGCCGTGGGACTAGCTTGTGACTTGATAAATACGAGGCACTTCATTCTGCAAAATCCAATGCTCAACAATGCTCAAGCTCAACCCAAAGCATTCACCATACATCATGCGATTATCAGACTTATTGGTCGGAATTCTGGCAGTCGCAGGTACAGGTCCGCAGAACCATAACCTCAGCCAGGGATCGTGCTGATCATCCACTCAAGTATCAGGACAAGCTACGAAGCGGCAGTGCGACCCTGTCACTCTAATGTGCTATTCGAGCTGGACAGCCACGAACGGAATCACATTTGGCGTCGCACTCCCCGAAACTAACACTGCACCCTTTGAAACGGTTCTGCGCATAGTATCGCCCATCAAGAATGGCTGGGTTGGCTTTTCCTGGGGAGGAACTATGCCCTATGTTCCCCTGACGGTAGGCTGGATCAACAGCGCTGCGAACACCACAATATACTCTTCGAGGATGGCGTTGTGAGTTATAGCACTCAATTAAAGAAGCTGGCCTGACAAACTATAGTGGCCTCAGCCTGCCACAGGCATACGACGGTGCTGAGTACTCTTACCTGAAGGGTACTGGATACAACGACACACATTGGACTTTAAACGTGCGGTGCAAAGGCTGTTCACAATGGCACGACGTAGAAGGAAATCTGAAGTCCATTGATGGTGCAGCGACCGCACAGAAGTTCGCATATGGTCTGGCTACCAAAGCACCTGCTCAACCAGCCAACAACAGATCCACTTTTAACGTCCACAACTCTTTTGGGAACTATAGATTCGACCTAACTCAAGGTTGGAATGCCAACTTCCAAGCTCTAGTGGCAGCGAACCTTGTCGACGTTGCCCTGCCGTTATCAAGCAGTACATCGATACCCACGCCCACCGTCAGCCCAACATCAACCATTGGAAGTTCAAGTACCGCAGGCGTGGAACCGATAGGGACTGGTATACCCAATTCGTGCAACGATGTCACAAAGCTTGCATCTTCCATGAGCGTTGCGAAGGGATGGAAAGTAACAAAGGTAGCCGGCGAACTCACTCAGCCTCGTGGAGTCATCCTTGACGCAGCCGGTAATCTGCTCATGGTTCAAAACGGCCTTGGAATTACCGCACATAAGGTTGGGTCAAATGGCTGTCTGACCTCGTCAAAGACCATTATCGCCCAACGAAATCTCAACCATGGCATCGTCTTGAGCAATGATGGAAAAACACTATACGCAAGTTCAGCTACGTCTGTCTTCTCCTGGAGCTACGATGCTTCGACAGCAAGTGTTTCAGCGACCTCGAACACGGTCGTGACTGGCATGGATAGTAGTGGACATGTCACAAGAACACTAGCCATCCCGCCTAAGCATCCTAACCTTCTTGTCGTCTCTCACGGATCAAATGACAATTTCGACTATGGATCCGCAGATATTAGGACGGGACGTTCGTGCGTCAAAGTCTTCAACACCACATTGATCCCAACAGGAGGCTACAATTACGCTACTGGTGGCTACCAGATGGGATACGGATTGCGTAATGAGGTTGGTCTAGCTTTTGACGGCAACGGCATGCTCTGGGGCGTCGAGAACTCGTCAGACGAATTACATCGAACCGTTGATGGCGTATCAGTCGATATCCACATGGATAATCCAGCGGATGAGCTCAACTACCTAGGCGATCCCTCGAAGAAGAACACAGATTGGTACGGCTATCCGACATGTTATACCTGCAGGGCACCAGACGCCATCACCGACCGAACATTTGCTGTCGGTGACCAGTTTGTCCTGGAACCTAATGCTACTTTTTCGGACGATACATGCAAAGAGAGAAGTATACCTGCAAGACTTGCATTACCCGCGCACTCTGCGCCGTTAGACGCGAAATTCAACATGAATTCTACGAGCATGTACATCACCATCCATGGATCGTGGAATCGCAGTCCTCCAGCAGGATACAAGCTGATTGAGGTGCCATTCGCGAATGGTTTGAACGGCTTTGAACCGCGAGCGTCACTGAATAGCACGACAGGTTGGAAGGATATCTTTTGGAGTCCGGATGTCGATCATTGCTCAACGACGCAGTGCTTTAGGCCGGTGTCAATTGCGCAAGACGCATTTGGGAGAATGTATATCACGAGTGATAGTGGTGCGGAAGGGGAAATGATTATAGTCGGACGAGATTGATTGAGTCAAGGTTGGTATTTGAATAGGGCATGAAGCATAGATTTGGACAGGATGTCTTTTGGTTTCGCAGTTGAAACTACGAACATCGGGGAGCAATACACTCGCTGTCTTTGTGTAGAAGTTAATCATAAGTTTGACAAACGTACAAGATTTGAAAGCCTTTGTGCGTGACTCTTGATTCGATTTTGTTTCCACAGTAGTGGTGGTGTCCCTGCGAAGGAGCTCGTATTTATTGAGTAAAGTCACAAGCACTGTAGGTAACACACTACACTATAAAATTACCAAACTGTACGTTTAATATAGGCGTATTCTCTATAAGTAGTTATAATCTTGTTGCATTAAACATTAGTACAGTTGTTGTCTCTCTGCTACCATATAGTCTTAAGCGTCACGCTGTTAACGTGGAATAGGGACACAATAAATAGGTACGAGCTCCTTTGTAGAGCTCGTTTCCTTTGACGTACCCACTCCACAAACCCTCGATTATAATTGTGCTATATCACAACAGGGAGCTAACAACAGGATACTATCAACTATCAGCATGATTTGAGCACACTGTGGAGTGTACAGATATATTATAGTACGGCCAAGTGCACGCGTCAAGTACCAAGGAGACCCTCAAACTCTTCTATAGGCAGTGATTCCCGCAACAACGGCCCAATTTAATCTCCACAGCACAATCTGTAGTATAAATGCCCACTTTACATTGATCGTGGTAGCAAATATCTTAGTCAAGTCTTATCTCGATGGTGAAATGTTACATGGGGAGGTCTAGCGCACTGCAAATTTTTCATGTCGTACTATTACCAATGGGGTAAATCTCACCGCTCTTGGATCCCAACAGTATTTTCCAAAGCTACCGAGACTCATAGTCTAGTGTAGCCATGGCACACGAAAGTTGTCATACTGATCTGTCTTCAATTTAGAATATATAATATAATGCTGCAACACTCTCCATCGAAACAGCATCAGGGCTTGTGGTTTAGTGGTATAATACTCCCTTAGCATGGGAGTGGTCCAGGGTTCGGTTCGTACACTCGCCATCTAACATGTCCTCTAACACGTATACTTATTATTCTTCAGATTCCCTGCAAGTCCAGAACTTCCTTTTTTGTATATTTTTGGTGGTATCTAGATCAACATGCGCTCGCAACGTCCACGGTTTTTTTTTTAAAGGGGAGGGGGGGAAGGGGAAAAGCCGTGGACCCTGAAAAAGCGCTGGCAAAGGGTTCTCGCATCGCTCGAACCCTTTGCCAGGTTCGAGGTCCGGGGTTCAATTCCCCGCGAGTCCATCTATTTTTGCATGGGAGTGGTGTATGTGTTGATGGTCAATGGTGGGTTACAGCGTGGAGGGTGAATGGCCCGTGGGTGAGGGAGCGTTGAGATATTTTTGGGCGAGGAATATTTTTCGCGCCCCAACAGGAACATACAGATTGCACAGATATAAGCGAGAACAGTACCTCCATCAGACTTGTATGTAGATAGTGAAAATTGAAAGCATGTTTACTCAGATGCGCACAAGGCAAAGGTCGTGAAACAGCACACGACGCGTGAGATCTGCATGTAGCAAAATCCGACTTCAAGTATTTTGTTTCAGACCTTTCGTACATTCGAAACTGCAGCTATTGATCGATCGTATACGCTGGAGAGTGCTTTTTACAATGTCTGGCAAAGGACGTTTGAGCATGGAAAATCGCGAAGCAGTAGGCAGGCACACTGGCATAATCATCCATTCAGATAAACGACTCTACAGTCTAAAGCAGACGATTAGGACATTGTATTCGCTATTGCAACAATCACATAGCGCAAGTATTGAATCCCTCGCAGCTTATATACTCTTCTTCTCCCATCGCAATCCATCGGAGAAGCTCCCCTTCATAGCACCCCAATTATCCACAAAGTAATTTTCTCTTGGCTTCCATGGTCCCCTGTTTGCGCACTTTGGCATTTTGCTCATCGCGTTCGTTACGTATGTGCTGTTGAGCGGGCTGGCACCAACCTCGTACTTTTTATCCGCTTCGCTGATCACTGGCACCACAGAAGTATACCCAGTATCATTCTGATACCTGATCATGCGCACGAAGAGACGAGATGCGGTGTCAGAACCTAGTGTCCATGAAGCGTTCCAGAAACCAATGATGTTGCCAAGGTTGGGTAGTGATGTGAGCATACTGGAGCGCCACATGTATTGTTCGGGGATGTCAACTGGCTTGCCATCGACGGACAAGTTTATGCCACCGACTAATCGCATATTGAGACCTGTGGCGGTGACGATGATGTCTGCGTCTAGCTTCTCGTCGCTGTTCAGCTCGATGCCATTGCTTGTAACGCTCTTGATCGTGTCGGTAACGATGTGCGCCCTCCCCGAGCTGAACGCCTTGAAATAGTCGCCATCAGGGCAAAGACAGAGACGCTGTTGCCAAGGGTTGTATCCAGGTTTGAAGTGTGGGTCGACTGGGAAATCGGCGGGTAGCTGTTTCGCGGCTTCTTTGCGAAGGAACTTCGAGGCGGGGTTCGGGAAGTACATGCAAAACTGGTAGAGCAGGATTGGGATGAGAGTGAACATAAAACCTGAGGATGATTAGACGAAGCTGATGGTCAAGTGTGGATAGACTTACGCTTATATTTTAACAGGAGCCACTGTGGAGCGTACTTTTCCCACCAGGCATCATTCCTCTGCGAAAGGCTCATGATGTAGCTGGGACTTCGTTGAAGCTGTGTGACCGATGCAACACCACCGTCCACCATCGCAGGCAACAACGTAATCGTAGTCGCCCCAGATCCAATGATGACCATCTTCTTGCCTTTGTAGTTCAAATCCTCTGGCCAGAACTGTGGGTGTACAACCTGACCCTTGAAGTTTTCGATGCCGGGAATGTGAGCCTTTCTGGCTTCATCGTAGTTGTAGTATCCAGTTGCCGTAATGAGCCATTTGGTCCAGTACACAGCTCTATGTGTGTCCTCGCCCTGCCCGATCTGGACATCAAGTCTCCACTGTTGTTCGCTGTTCCTCCAGTCCGCAGCGATGACTTTGTGATTGTACCGGATCTTCTTGTCGATGTCGAATCGATGTGCCGTCTCGTTCAAGTATGACATGATACTGTCACCGCTGGCGATTGGGTTCGTGGCTTTCCATGGGTAGAACTGGAAACCGAGTGTGTGCAGATCTGAGTCTGATCGCACACCCGGGTACTTGAACTGCGACCATGTTCCACCAAGTTCGTGTCGGCCCTCGAGAATGGCGAAGGAGGCGTCTGGTAGCCCTTCTTGGACGCGGTAGGCAACATTGATACCACTGAGACCGCTCCCAATGATGAGAACGTCGAAGTGATGATCATTTGAGGTGCCGTTGGTGGTGGCGTGCCCGTTGGCAACTGTGCGACCGTTCATGACGATCGCGTCAGCACTAGATCTGTTGTGCAGTTGTGCGGCGAGTTGTGCGGCGAGTTGATCGATGCAAAGTATAAGCACCGTCCAGTTGATGCCTGCTCAAATTGAAGTCTACAGATCTGCAATAATCAAGTCTTAGTGCAGATCACAGGTGTGAGATGAAGCGTAGTGTAGAACCGTGGGGACGGAGGTTTGAAGGAAGGCAAACACGGAGTCGCGCACGTCGAACATACATATACCCGCAGTAAACAAGACTCGCGATTGCGCGCCGCCCCTCACAAGCAAGCACTACTTGTTCGGGTTCTCTTCTCGTCCGATAGCCTGCTTCTCTAGACTCGCCAAGGCACGAACTTCCTCCCCTCCATTGGGGCTTTGCAGACTCACACAGCGAGTAGTCACGTCATGGCATGGCCAAACTGTGTTTTGAGATGCAAATGTGCCTCGGCATGTTACCTTTTGGGACTAGTGAGCGCAGCGACCTCCTCATACGGACCCGCCTTACCGACACCGCAAATCTTGACACTGTCAATCCGGGCGCACATCTCTACGCTTTGCAACATAGTGCTACACACAGCTCGCGGGGAAGACCGTCATTTGTGGTTATGGATGCCAAGGTGTCCGTGTTCCGGCGGTACCGACAGTAAGGGCGTGAAGAGAATGGCAGAGAATCTCTTGCGCAAGGACTTGCCGAGGCATCACAGTACAGAACAAGTGCAGGCAACCTCGTGTTCCAGACGACGACATGATGAGCCGACAACAGTTTTTCCAAGATTGTAATTTGCATCGACATGAAGTTGGTCACTACCTAAGCTTCATATGTCTGGCCACGAGTGGTTGTATATTCGTCGATTGATTGTTGCTGGTCCTACGCGGTGATGCTGGGGTTGTCGTTATCAAGCAGATTGGCTAAATTTGACGAGGAAGTGGAGGATGGTATGTGGCCAAGATCAGATAGAGTTTCGAGAGACGAGGAAAGATGGAAGGTACATACACGAGTGTCGATTCTCCTTCATCTACCTCCACCTCTCTCCAGGATTATTCTCGTTTTATAGCATATTCTCGAGGCCCACTCTCTTCCTTTTGGTCACAATGCTACCTGATGAGTGACCATAGCCACCTTTGATTGAGTCTGTTACATGGAAAGCAGCAATCCCGCCATGTGTGGAGGTACCGGAGGTAACTGATGATCATTTCTCATAGTATGTGTGGCAAACCTTTTACTGAGTAACGTGGTCACTCGATTATCGTAGGTCTGCCGTAAGGATTGCCGCACATTGTGTGACACAAGCATGGTGCAACACGATCGCGTTCACACATGGTTCAGCTCAAGGACTAATGACGGTAACAAAGATCAATTGTGTATCAATGTATAGCTTCGTTCTTCCCTGTCATGGTCTCATGCAATCTAGATGATGAGCTTGCTATGGCCCACGATCTCCCTGACTCTACAAAGTCTGTTTACCTCGTGTCTCAATTGGCAGTATCAGCATCGAAAGCGCTGCTGCGATAAACAGTCCACCTGATGCGTAAATTGGAGCTTTGGGGTTCGAGTTTCCTGCTTGAATGGCGATAATCGGCGCACACAGACCCGCAATCCGGTTGAGGAAGCTCGAGATACCTGTACCTGTGCCTCTGATAGGAGCAGGTAGTACTTCGGGAGTATACGCGTACAAAACTCCATAACTTATATTTTGAAAGAAAGCTTCAAGGCATGTGAAAGCAAGTTGGAAGTCGGAGTCAGTTGAGATGGTAAAGAGGAAGACGAAGACCCCGGTAATGACTGTTCCAATCGCCATGGTTCCCTTTCGTCCAAGGTATTTCAGGTCGACCGTATACCACGCAAGGAAAGATCCTGGAACGCCCACAATGGCTGTGATAGCATAGTTTCGGTAGACGGTGCTTGTGTCGTTCACGACATCGCCGCCGGAGTTTGCAAGGTATTGTGGCAAGAACGCATTGAAGAGAGGGTAGGCCATACCGATGGTCGTCCATTGGAACCAAAGGAGGCCTGTGGTGAGACCGATTGTCTTGTCTGCCCAGAGAGCACTGAAGCGTTTCATGGAGAATCTGGAGAGCGAACGCTTCACAATCTCGAAGATACTGAGCTTGACGTCTTCTCCAGTGGCTTCGGGATCACCACCAACATAGTTGAGGATATCTTCGGTCAGCCAGGTGTGGGTTTTGTTATAGTGTGCAATCCCATATACCGTCGCTACAGCCTCGGCCTGGCGACCACGTGAAAGGAGGAACTTTGGCGATTCGTAGAGGTGGAAGAGGAAGAACCGCGCGATGAACATAGCGAACGTGATGGCTCCTAGTGTGAGAATGAGATATCTCCAACCCATGTTATCCTCCTTGCGGCACTCTCCGAGGGGAGTGTCATTGGGGCATGAGAAGTTGGGAATGTACGCCCACGCAACTGGAGATGTCAGTGGGCTGGTTGTGGTGTAAGATGGTGTTACGTACGAAGTGATGCAATGAGGTTTCCTACTGGCCAGAATACCGATAACAACGTAAGAAGGTTACCGGAACTTTGAGGAAGGAATTCCAGGAACAAAGCGCCATCGACTGGCAGGTTGCCTCCTACGCCCAATCCAATGCAGGCGTAGAGAGCACATGTGCCTATCCAGGTGGGTCCGCCACCGGAAGC